GAATACCAAGACCACTATATTCTTTTGGTTTGTAACCTCTATCCCAAGAGACCTTAGCACCAGATGTCTTCATTTCAGGTCCTGACCACATGAAGGATCTTAAGATCTTGTTCAAGTCATTGATAACTGCCTTAGGTAGTAAGAAGATACTGGACCAGTAGATTTGGGTTGATACTAGCATAGATTTGATGAGTTGCAGCCTCCCAACATAAGGCGGGAATTAAACTCCAATGAGATACTCTATGTGTTAACTTATCAATAAGAAAACTGCAGTGAACAGACCTTAGATTTGTGGAAATCAAAGGAACCCCAAGATATCTCACTGGTAGAGCCCCAACTCCAATACCAACAAAATCAGAGATTGCAGCTTCTGTATGACAATCAATTCCAGAGCAGAAGAGGTTGCTTTTGGTCTTTCACCATTTCTGCAAATTATGGAGTTTTGAAGAGAAGAATGGAATATTTTAGAGGGTAGAGTGCAAAACCTCCCCTAAATTATTGCCCTTTTGCATATAATTCCTTGAACTAAATATTATCCTCCTCAACTATTGATTTGTTGTAATTAAGGACAAACACATCACCAAAGACTATTTTACCCTTTCTCATTAAATTTGTCATTTCCTATTAAATTTTTTTTATTATCTTTTCTTTTATCTAAATATTAATTATACCATTTAGCTTAATTTTATTATTAGTGTCAATTTATCATAAAAATGGAAAAAGAAATAGAATTGTAATTATATTTTTTGATATGATTAACTTATAATTAAACTATACTATTTATAAATTTAATAAATAACTTAAATAGTATAGTTTAAATTTAATTAAACTCCTACCTATAATTAAACTATACAATATATTCACGAAAATTTAATAAATTACTTAAATGAAAAAAAAAAAAAAAAAATTTTCTTAAATTGTTTTTAAAAAATTTACTTAAGATTTTTATTCAAACAATTAATATAAAAAATTAAAGGTAAATATATGCAAATTTAATAGGGAATATTTTATCAATATAGTACGAGTTCTTTTCATAATTTATTTTAATAAGAAAAATAAATTAAGTGTAATTCAAAAGGAAAGGATATTATGGTTATTTAATAAAAAATAGTCTAGACATTCAGGCATTTTATAATAAAATGTGATAGTTTATGGGATATTATGAACAAAATATAGTTTAAGAGGGTTGCTTGTAAATTCAGATATAGTTGAAGGGTTTATTTTTGCACTCTACTCTATTTTAGAATGTTAGAGGAGAAAGTTTAGTAAATATATAGATATTTAAATGAAGAGTTAATTGTAAACAAGGTACAAAAGTGTGAGAGATACACTTTTGAAGACGCTCCTTTGAGGAGGAGATGCCTATATATAGGTAGGATATATAGGTAGTGTCAGAACACGCAGAAGTGTGGGAAAAATATGAAACTTGTGAGTGTCTCCAGGCCGATTTGAAGTTATTTTAAATTTCACCTAAAATAGTAGTTTAAAAATCATTTTTTTTTTTTTGTATATTAAAAGATAATATATGTTATCAGAAATATATAATCTGTATCTAGAAAGAGAATATGGATAAGGATGTGCGGTTAAAAACGAAAACAATTAAAATTTTAGTGAGCTGCTAACGATAATTGACATGTAACATGGTTGACGTGGAAGTTGTAAACATAATGCGTCGTTCACGTGAAAATTATAAACAGTACACTACTAACGATAATAGACGTGAAAGTTTATCAAGTAGTAGACCATTTGATCGGTGGTTACAATGGTACAAGTCTGATGGTAGACACATAATTCATGCGTCGTTAATGTACGTGGAAGTTGTAAACAGTATACTGCTAACGATAGTAGACGCGGAAGTTTATCAGGTAGTAGACAATTTAATCGGTGCTTACAACCGTATAAGTCTGATGGTAGACACATAATTCTTACGTGTAAGTTGATGCGGTGATATTAGACTGAGTATTCTATTTCCATCAAATTAAAATTTAACAAATTAATTAGTTTTGATGGTAAGATGGATTTTTAGGGATACAACATGTCTATAATATAGCATGTCCGAACTACCCAATATCTCATGGAGTTGTTAACGTTTAAGCTTTGATAGTTGCAAAACAGCAAGAGAATATGATTGTAATTGCAAACTACCAAGTTAATTTTTCAGTTTGGTGGAGTTTGGTAAAATTATTACTTATACATTGAAAACTATTATTTAAATCCAAAATACAATTCATACTATTCAAAATATCAAAATATCCTTCCTAAATCAAATAATTCTTTCATTCATAAAATTTAGAAAAACAAGATTTTTTAATTGACTTTCAACTTGGCATTTTTGCATGTTGTGTACATATTATCAAAAATAAAACCTTCCCGAAAAGAAAATAATACTATGTAATAAAGAATAACATATATACATATATATATATATAAATTTTGTGCACTCAATTTTTACAGTATCTTGTAATCTTTATCGGTTCAAACCTACAAATGTCAATTTAGAAATATACAAATATTTCCAATACCCATGTCCTATTGATCGGACTTGACTATGTCAGTTAAACCAATTTTTGGAAGGGAAATTGGGAAAGAGGAAAACCATTTGGTGTTCCAATTGTAGTCAATTCTTCTATGTTTAGAGTATCTACAATGGTATCTAAAAAATTTTGGTCTCCAATTCCAAATTTGTCATGTCAGCATTTTTCAATAGATCCGTCAGCATTTTCAATAGTCACTTCAGCATTTTTTACTATCTAAATTTTAGCTATAACGTACCGGTGCTCCAATGATGCATTTTCGCTCTCCAACAATTGAAATTTTTTAATTTTTTAATAAATTGTTTTTTTTTTTTAAAAAAAACATTTTCCTAATTGCTAAAACGGCTATATCATACAAAAACTATTAAACAATACAATATTTATTATGGATTAGAAAAATTAAAACAATACAATGCTATATGATTTTATTTTATTTTTTTTAAATAAACAATACAATACCATTATTAAAATGAACTATAAAAAATAACAGCTATATGACACTTATTTTTTTTTTCCTTTTTTTAAAGAATAATCATAAGTACAATCATGGATAATGCTTAGCTAATCACTGGTGAGTAGGGTAAACCTACTTACCCCTATGTGGTCCAATAACAAAATAACACATTACCTTTAATAATAAAATAATTCACACATTTCTCTGCTTTGTTTTTAGGTGCGGATTATTTTATTATTAAATGTGATGTGTTATTTTATTATTAGACCACATAAGGGTGATTAGTTTCACCCTCATTGGTGAGTAGTTAAACATTATCCCACACAATCATATACAATAATTTTTTTCCTATTTAAAAAGCACTTATCTCTTTTCTTCATTTCTTTTTTTACTTTTTAAGGAAAAAAAAAAAAAAAAAAGGGCCAAGCATGGCTAAGGGCTACAGTGATTAGGGCTTAAAACAGTTTTAAAAAATTAGATGGGCCCACACAAGGCAAGCCGTGATCGCCAACTGGGTCGCCGTTTTTGGCAACCTATTACGCGACCCAAAATTTTGAGCCCACCAATTGGAGACTCCATTAGACTACTGGCATCTCTAAATTGCATCCAAAATCTCAAAAAACTTACACCATTGGACTTGTTCTTATCAGCTTAATGTTCATGAATTGGCTTCTTTATTTATTTTATTTCATTTATTTATTTTAGAAACATTGAATCCTCGTTAATCTTGTAATGGTGAATTTATGTTGAATTAAAGAAAAAAAATTGAAGATGTTGACGTGAATAGTTTTATCTACTTGTATTAACTGCTAAAATTTGATTTTCAGTCTCTTCTCTCTGTCTGTAGAATATTTTTTCCCTTTTCCCTTTTATATGGTGTTTTCTTTACCTATTTAGTGTGAATGTGTTTTTAGCATTGGACTTTTAATTGTGGTTTGTAAGAACATTTAATTTTGTGATGTTACAAAATCAGATTTTCACGTGCCTATTCTGTTCATTTTATCAGTTCTAATTTCTTCAATGGGGTCTACTCTAACGTAGGCATAAACTCGATTTTCATATCTAATGTCAATTACCCATTTGACAATTTCATCTTCTTCTTCTTAGATTTTTATAGATGAACCCTACTTCAAGCCTCAAATTTCAATGAAATGATATATCTATATATATATATATATAGATAGATAGCGTGTGTTGATTTATGTGTAAGCATTGCAAGCCTTTTATTCTTCTTCAAATTCCTTGCCCAAGGCTTTGGAAACATATTCATCTTCTTCTCTTAACTTCTAAGTTTGCTCTATTGAATAACTTGATAGAATCAATCAGATAAGTGCCCTGAATTGAAATTGAGGTTGAAAGACAGTGTAGCAATTATATTGGATGACAGTTTTGTAATTGTACATTATTTTATAAAGTTTAAAATGTTCAAATCAAGGGCAATACTGAATTTTTTAAATATTAAGTATATGACATTAGCTATTACCCTCATTGACACGGATTAAAAAGAGAAGTTTGTCTCGGTTCATTTTTAGGATAAGTTAAAGTAATTTTAAAAATTATAAAGGATGTATGTGTAATTATGATAAATCTCAATAGAATTTGGTTTGACTGAGTTTAGTGATTTATTTATTATTATTATTTTTTTGTCCCTGAAAAGGTTTGGGCCTATTGCAACAATTTAGAGTCACGAGTAGTGGTTTGGAGACTGAATTTAACGGTTATCGAATTTAATTATATTATTAAGAAAAAAAAAAATTCAATTTGATATAATAGTAATATCATACAATCAAGTTTACCATCCTATTCATTTAAATTGAATTCAATAATTACCAAATTCAATCTATAAATCATTATTCTTATTATAACTACTGGATGGTTCAAAGGAGTTTTGCTCTTTAAAGAATAAAATAATTAAAAATTAAGGGGCATCAAAAATTAAAAGTGGGGTTTTTTTTTTTTTTGTTTCTTAATTTAAAAAATTGATACACAAAATGAAACGATTACCAAAATAAAAAATAAAGGCATGTACTGTATTTTCTATTTGTTTTCAATGAGTATGTTTTATGCGCATGAACGAACAAACCTGCAAATCATCCACTGGTTTCGCCATTCGAGCACCCGCTCATTGTCGCCTATCGCAAGTTGTTTCTGCTCTTCGATTGTATTGTAAGTCCTTTTCCTCCTCATTCTTCATTTTAGGGTTTTGGTTTTTCTCCTCCAATTAATGCTTTTCCGTGGATTCAATGTCAATACAATACAAATAATTATATGAAGATATCTTTTATCAAAGAATTGCTTCACCATTTTACACTGCAATCAGTAGGAAAACACACTAGACATGTGTGTACAACACATATATTGGTGTTCAATTGTGTTTTCCGTTTGATTTGGACTGTGTAATTGCACAAATGGTGGTTATATACATATCATATACTTTTCGTAGATTAAACAAAAATTTATTGTAACTTGCTTTTTCGTTATTAGGTTCTAGTGGGTGCCGAATTGGAGCTTTCTGGATATTTCTAATATTTTTCTAACTCTATGAGTTTGGTTTGGCTTCTACCTTCGTCTAGTTTTCTCTCTCTAAAGCTTGCATAACTTATGTATGTATGGTTTAAGACTTCAATCTCATCATGGTTTAATTTTTCAGCATAAGAACTATGTACTTGACATTGTTATGATATGGACTATGGTAGTGTAATATTGCAATTCTAAGGCAATTATATAATGCATGTTGATAATGCTAATTTATGTGAGTTTTACAATGCATAACTGATACATAGCATGACAGAACACTATGTAAGATAACCTGAGTCACTCAGTTCCGAAACGATTGACTTATAGACTCCCGGATAAAAGTTTTCAATTTTTGTTGCTAAGTTTGCTTTTCCTTTTTCCTGCTTTGGGGTTATGTGAAAACTTATGTTTGTGGACTACAGTTTATTGACTTTTTTCCTTTCTTATTAAGCATTAGGTGGACTAAAGTTTGTTAAGACGGCTAGGAATCCTCTTATGCTCATAATGCTAGGAATCGTGAGAATGTTGCTAGGAAGAACCAGGAATTTGAAGAGTGGGGTTAGTGCAGATTTCTTGTGGCTAGTGAGAAGATATATATCAGTCTCAAGCAGAGCAGCGATAGATATGGCTGCTAAAGATGGGGAACTAAGGGTCTTTATAGTTTCAGGAGAGGTTTCTGGTGACACCATTGGTTCTCGTCTTATGATGTCTCTGAAGAAGGTTTCTCCTTTTCCTGTCCATTTTGCAGGTGTTGGAGGGTAAGCTATCTTCTACCTAGCTATTGCATGAAATGAACATTTATTTCAGCTGTTTTCTTTGTATCTGTATCATAAATATCTACATTGCTAGTATGTCTACTGTTTTGTCTCTGCAAATCCAGTTGTGAAGTTAGAATGATTTAGAGGAATGGATTGTTTTTTTCGTTTTCGTTATTTTGGCATCCTAATTCCTACTGTAGTTTCTGTCTTTTAAATTATTTTTAGATTAGCCAACTACTGCATAACAGTTTAATGGAGGTTTCTGTTCTTCGATGTCTTAAAAATTGAGAACTATGAGTTTTAAATTTTGATCTTTCCCTTTTTACCCCTTCATTTTCTGAGCTACAGATACAAGACATCATCTGTTCAAGGATTGTTTATACTTGTTATTCACATTAACTGAGTTTTTTAAAATTAATTTCTCTTCCTTTATTTCATCTTCCCAGCTACCGGATACGAGTCAGTATATGCTAGGATTTGTACACTTGTTATTTGACATGAAGTATGAGCTTTTAGATTTTGCTTTCTCTTCCTTTTACTTCGTTTTCTCAGATACCAGATATGGGACATTGCCCTTGCCTGATGTGTACACTTGTTATGCAACATGTCTGCTTCTTCTTTCTAAGCATTGTAGTTATGTGAGATTATTATCAATGATCTCTCACCTTATTCAGATTCTGTATGAGTTTGCATTTATTAGTGTACTTTTTTATTTTTTCATCTATTCAGGTCCATGATGTCCAAGCAACGATTGAAATCTCTGTTTCCTATGGAGGATATTGCAGTAATGGGAATTTGGGAGTTGTTGCCACATCTGAATAAGTTCAGAGTGAGTAGCAAGGAACGCTTTATAGTCTGCATTTCGGCAATCCACAGCAATATGTTCTTTGTAGTTTTTTATCTTTTTATGTTTTAGTTATATATTTATCTTTTAGTAAATTAAGATTTGCTGTGCACCATTGCATCTGATTTGGAATTGATTTATATATTGAACTTTGAAATGGCAGGTTAAGTTGAAGGAAACAATAGAGGCTGCACTATTGTTCCGGCCTCATGTTGTAGTGACTGTAGACTCCAAGGGGTTCTCATTCCGTCTCCTAAGGCAGCTACGGGGTAATCTCAAACCACCTTCTTGGAGTTCAAAATGCTTGAATTTTGCTCATCTTGCTAAAAAAGTATGGAGGAAATTGGTTGAATGCCTTTTGCAGCTAGATTTGTTCAGCAAGGATTGGGTAGCCCGGCACACTTCCATTATGTAGCACCATCGTTTTGGGCGTGGAAAGGGGGTGAAGCAAGACTCAAAGGACTTTCCGAATTTGTGGACCATGTCTTGTGTATACTTCCAGGTGAGGAAGAAGTTTGCAGATCGAATGGATTGGGTGCAACCTTTGTGGGCCACCCCACACTAGAAGATGTGTTGGATTTGAATTTGGTACGGCTCTATCTACTATCTACTAATTTCTTTTGTTTGTTTTTCCTTTCATTCTAGTGGGTCTGCTACTTCAGATGGCGTACAGTTGCTTTATTATGGACACATAATTATGTAGTCGACATTGAATTTTTAATAATATCCATTCTGTTCCAGTTGACTTGTTTAGTATAGTTGTTTGAAGGATACAACACAGTTGCTTTATTATGAGAAACATAAATAGTCAAGTTTGGATTTGTACTAATATCCATTATGTTCCTGTTGATTTGGTTAGTATAATTGTTTTAATACTTAAATGCTGTGGGGATGATATCTCTAGGAAAAGGATACAGCAGAAAATGGATGGAAGGTTCAAGGAAATTGTGAAAAATTTCGAATGCAGTATGGCATACCTTCAGGTAAATCTAATATAATTCTACTAGCTTTTTTTTCTCTAAAGAACAGATTTTTTATTTTTTTGTCTCTGTAGATTAAGGGTACTTGAGCACCTTCATTATTTCTTATAAGAATATTTCAATATATCAAGGTTGTACTAAATGAACTTAATTGATATAAACTTTAGCTTTTGTGTCAGCCATCTATAATAATTTATCAACTGACTCTGTACATCTACCTTTTTTTTTCTTCAAGCAAACATCTAATTGTAAACATCTAACCATGAAAGTGGGATGTGGAAAGGACATATGCAAATCTTGTACCCTCATATTCCCCCAAAAGTCTACAAAAGGAACTGCTCAAAGAAAATTTCCTCTTATTTTATTGAGGAGGGGGAGGGGGGTTTTCCTCTTATTTTTTTGAGGATCTGCTCAAAGAACTCAATACGCCTTTTCAGATTCCGTACTGGCACCTCCACCCCCTTTTATGGAGCCCAGATTTCTATCCCTCCAAAAATACCACCAAAGGCATAGAAAAAATGACTATTGGACATCATTGATTCGCTTTTGACTTGTCCTCTTCCCCAACTAGCTAGGTCTCAGATACATTTGAGGCCTCACTCAGTGATTGCTAGACAAGCAAAAAAGAATTTCAGCTCTCCTACACGTACATAATTAGTTGACGATACTATTGCATCTTAATCTAATTGTCAATGATAATAAATTTCCCTAGTGCTGCTGTCCAACCAAAGAAAGCTCTAGGAGGGATTACCATCTTCTAGATAGCCTTGCATGGGAAGTCAGGATTCCCCTCAAAGTATCCAATAAAATGATTAGACCTCAAACTTTCCACCCTTGGACACAAACTAACTTAGAGAGTCTTCACTTGCAACCAAACAGCTGCCGGCACAATAGTGCAAGGAATGCCTTTATCGCCTGACCCTCTATATTATGCAGTGCCCTAAAAAATTGGATGTCAAACAACTTACCATCATCCATCATCTGAAACAATTCTCAACGTGGGCCTCCTTATTCACAACAATTCTAAAGAGGCTTGGAATTTCTCCTTAACCATCTTTCTATTATTTATACTTGCAATAATATCCAAACTTATTTTTTCAGTATTAAATGGCCTCCGCCTATACTATATGCTTTTCCTTTATTTTTTGGGTGCTTTTTCTTACTTTCAACTATTAGTTTCTTGTCTTTGCAATATCTCATACTATGAATTTTGAGCAATATTCATTTTAATATTTCATTTGATTTTTATATATCTTTTTAATTTATGGATCTTTTTCTTTCAAAGGAGCCACGATCATTTCCCTGCTTCCTGGAAGCAGAATGCAAGAAGTGACCCGCATGCTATCCATCTTCTCGAACACTATGAAGCTACTGAAAGATTCTCTCCCAGAGTTGACTGTGGTGGTCCATGTGGCACCTAATCAACATGTTAAAGATTATATTAGCAGAGTTGTTCATCAGTGGCCTGTATCTGTCATATTGATTTCAGGGGGATCACCACGCATGAAATATGATGCATTTGGTGTAAGGAATCTTAATCTCTGTCCTCAAATGTAACATTATAAAATCCATTACGTGAGGGACCTTGCATCATAGTGGTTTTCTTTTGTGGAGGATCTCGTCCTAGGTCCAGTCAAATAGTTCATCCCTCTGTGTTTGATTAGTGGTTAAGGTGCCTGATTCTTTGAATTCTTCCATATGAATTCCCATGTCCGTTCAGTAGATTTGACCTGGTCATATCTAGAAGACCATTCGGCTGAACTATGTCTAGACGTTATTTACCAGGATTCAATGGTAATGTCTTACAGATTATATCTGGTCCTGATTAGCGGTGAGTGATTCCTATTCCTCTATGCTTTGATTGGTTTCACTAAAAGATCTCTGTCATTGCGATTCAGGCCCAACTTCTATCCATTAGTAGGTATTCACTTCATAAGGGTGTCTAGAAGTTTATGAATATGTGAGGTTCTAGTGTGTTAATATATTTATTATATGTTTATTGAAACTCTTAGGGTTTTAGTTGTTAGCTTACATCTTTTGTCTACATTTGAAATGTGGGATATTGGATACCTCTATTGGGGCCAATCTATAATGGGAAAGATCTAAATTTAGTTATTTCATTTCTCTCTTAATACATAATTGAGGCATGTAACTGAGTCTTACACTTAGGCCCAGTGCAAATAATGGTTGGCATCCATAACCTTTGACAGCACTGGACTTGCTTATTGTGTTTGTAGTTTTGGTGAGTATCATGACTCTCACCAAGCTGAACTACCATTCAGGCAAGCAGGGTCGCATTATGTACTTCGGGGACGGTGGCTATGGAGTTGCAACTTGCACGCTTACCATGTGTCGTTGCCTATCGAGCCCATATCCTGACTGAATGGTTCATATGTTATAAAGCAAAAGTACCATACATCTCCATTCCCAACATTCTTTTGAATTCAGCTATAATTCCTGAAGCACTCTTTCAAGCATGCACACCTTCAAAACTGGCATCACTTCTCATGTAAGAATATTTTTTGCAATATTGAAATGTGGAATTTTAAAATTTTTTTTTTTTTTTCCCTGGTTTTCAGTTCTTGATGAAGTATACTCTGGTCAAAGCTCTTTACATGATATTACATGAAACATTGCATTACGATGATTTTGTTTATTTCCAGTAACTTGATGCAATGCTGCCTACATTTTATCTTTAAATGGGCCTTGCTTATGTTTCTTGATATATAGGATGTCTCCTTACGTGAGAATCATCTAATATTATATCCTCTGTCAGAAGATGTAAATCAAATGATCTGTGAATTATTTAATATTCTGAAATTAGAAGTTATGCTTTCCATGAAACTTAAAGATGAAATTCTTTCAAAATATATTGCATAACTTTAAGGGTGATGGTGCTGCAGGAAATTAATACAGAATGAAGGCCTTCGAGAGGAACAGATTGTTGCTGCTGACAAGGTTATGGCATTACTCTGCCCTTCGAAAAGAACCATCATCAACTCAAAACAGCTGGAATTTGAACTTGTTTCTCCTGATTATACCCCTAGTATGATTGCAGCATCTACTGTACTATACTCTCCAGGACAGTGTCATTGATTATTCTTACATCAACACATGAAAGACCCAAACCAGATAACATTGGGATTATCCGGTTTGTCACTCTATAAACAGTTTTCTATTTTTTGAATTAAAAAAAAATAGAAAACTGATAACTGTTTGGACTTTGGATCTATTAACTGAGTTACAAAACTGAGCCTTTTTAGAGAACTACAAAAAGTTCTCTGAGTTTTTGAATTACATATTCCAGAAACCACACACTAAAAAGTCAGAAACACGGAGATCTGAGGGAGAGAACTGTATGAAATCGAAAAAAGACGGAATGTGTCGCCTCATTGATAACATGTTATCCCATAGGTCATATCTTATCTCCTATCTCAGCCCCCGCCAACACACATGCACGTCCCCTCTTCCGGTCATATCCTGTTAAATTAAAAAGCTTCTCTCTCATAATCGAAGACAGCAACTCATCCGGAGTCAAGAAATACAAGGAGCTTCAATAGATTCAAGTTAGGGGTAAGATCTAATTTTCTTTTTGGTGTAAAAAAATCTTTTAATTTTGTTTAAACTTTGTGGTAGATCTGGTGAGTTGTTTTTTTTATCCTGAGTAAGATCATTATTTATGGTATATTTTGTTGGGACTTGGCTAGATTTTTCGTACTAGAGTATGTTGAGGTTTTGTCTAGTCATGATATATAATTTTTTTTAGTAGTAAATTTTACATATCTAGGGGCGAGCCTTTGTGCAACGGTTAGATTGCTCCATTGTGACTTGGAGGTCACTGGTTCGAAACACGGAAACAACCTCTTCGCCCCCCGACTTTGCAATGGCGGGAGCCTCGCGCACTGGGTTTGCCTTTTTTAGTAAATTTTGCATAATTTGCATAAAGATTAACTCCATTAAACTGAAAGTTCACCTCCAGTTTTGGACTTTTTGTTGAAACTAGACCAAAGAAGAAAATGGTGCAGTGTCTCTTGTATGCATGCATAGATTTGAGAAATTGTCTAGATGGAAAGAAGTAGCCTAACCCCATACTGAATCTCGTCTATTCAAAGTTTGAAGCTATTTTGAGTTGACGATATGACAAAAATTAGTATATTACTAAAGTTGGATAAATTTTCTTTAATGTTGCAAGTTCTTGTGTGTTTCACCCACATTCCCTCTTGTTTCCCCCTTCTCGAAATACAAGAAAGAAAGATGAAAGACAAAAATAAAAGGATAAGTTCCTCAATTGTTGGACTGTTTATTGGAATCTGTTATTCTTTTTCTTTTCTTTTTCTTTTTATATTTTATAGTTTTTATCTTTATCATATTTCAGTTCATTTTTATTGCATTGCTTCGTGTTTCACAAACAACAATAGTTTTTGTCTTTACCTCTTGAATTCATCACCTTTGATTGAGTTTAGTTTTTGGCCATCACCGGACTTTGACATTTATGGTACTCCTTTGATCCCAATGGTAAATGTCTTTGGTTTATTGCTAAAATTACTCAACGAACTTGGGATCAGATGGATATAGGGTATGTATGTAGTCCATATGGAGTGTCTAATTTCAGTTAACTAATTTAGTGATCTACAGCTTTACAAATATATGCATATCATTGCTTGTTACTTTCTGTAGCTTGCTTGCAGAGAATCGTTTAAGATGAGTAGAAAGAATATGCAAGGCCAGCTAGAACTATAATTTGACTCCTTTCAATTGCACTCCCAATTCCACCTTTAAATCTGCTATTATTTCTTTGTTTTTTTGGTTAAATTTTGCTCATTTAATTTACACGACATTTTAAATTCATGGTAGCATCTTACAGATAATCACCTCATTTAGATTTAAATATTATGTATTTTGCAGGGAAGTACTATGTGGTTGATTTTGGATACCCACCCATGCATGACTAGATCTCTCTCTATATCGTGGCGAGAGGTATCATTTACAAGAATGTAGGGACAGAATATGCAACCTCATGTTCCAAAGGAATTGTTTACTATCGGAATTCATCACTTCTTAATGTACTCGAACGATGCTTTGGAGCTCTAAAGGCTAGTTTCTCATTTTAAAGCTTATGCCTTCTGGACAACTATTTCGATGATCAAAATGTACAAGTGATCGTTTTTTGTGAAGAATATTATTTTTGATGTTGTTGATGATCGGAATGGTAGCACCAGTCAACGAATAAATGCTGTCAACTTATCTATGCACGCTTTGCAGAAATGGCTCCATAACATGTACACCAGATTGTGGAATTTATGTGTGCATTTACGCTAAATTAAAATTGATGTAGCTCTAGTGTTTTGCTTTGGTTATGTAGGACTTTATGATAGTCCTGGGATACCTTTGATATATTTGAAGTTTTAAACTCAACTAGGTTTTGTACCTCCTCTTGTATTCTATCTAAACTTGATGTTACACTCGTTCAATTCTTACTATTTCTTACCATTTAAAGTTTACTCGAGAGTAATGCAAAAATCGATATTTTCTGCGAATTACAAAATTACCCTCAAGCACAAACCTGAACATTATAATTTTGCTCTACTCTTTATACTAGCGTGGCGCTGCTGGATGCTTCTGATCAATAGAACAGGAAGAGGAGTCCGCCAAAAGGAAAGACCACCAAAAGTCACGACCAAACAAAAAAGAAATTGGAATCTCTAATTGTATCTGTACGACTCTATGGTCTTGATTTTTACTTTCTCATTATTCTTTTCTTTTTTGATTCTCAATTAGGCTGGTCTTCCGTTCTGCCAGACCTAAAAAGTCTATTTATGAATATTACATTATGTATTCAATTATAATTTAGTTCATTTAATTTAAATAAAAAAATCTTTTCTATAATTCACAATTTGGTAAATAGAAAACTAAATAAGTCATTAAAATATCATTATTTATTTTATATTTTAAAATAAATTGAATCATTTTCATGCTTCAAAATTTTTTTCTAATTACTGCACAATTTAAATATAAAAGTTGACAACAATTAGGATAACTAATAATTTTTTTCAATTATGTTTAAATGGTAAACTAATAGAAATTTGGATAATCACTAAAATTTGAATAAAATTCTAATTACAAAAGTTTAATTCTTATTTTGAAAAATGGTATATATAAAAAAATGATTGATTCAAAACTCAATTGGAAGAAGATTTTCAAAGTTAGATTCGTTGTATTTCGAAAAAAATAAATAAAATGAAAGGCCACATCAATGTTTAAAAAAGAAATGTATAATTTGATGGTAATTTTTTTTAAATATTCTTTTAATATCTTCGGCCATAAATTATTTAAAATTTTAATTCAAATATTAAAATTCAATCATTTTTAGTGGATGAGTAAGCGGTAACTTCTATTATTTAACATGCTTAGACCAACTCCAATGCAATGCTAAATGGGCTGTCAATTTCAAAATATAGCAGGTGGATTTAACATGGATTCTCTAATGGGTTATTAAATGAGCTGCTAAAATATAGCTTTGCCAAATCTTGTGCCAAATACAGTACAAACTATAACTATTGCTTTGCCAAATGGGTTTTGAACTTCTAATTCTTGTAGATTTTGTAGTTTGGTGTTGTGCTTGTGTATATATAGATATGTCAGTGTTAATATATATGTGTGTGTATATATGTCATTGTTGGTATATGTGTGTGTATTGGATTTGATGATTATTATTTTTATTTATTTTTAATAAGGCAAATAAACTAAATAAAATACAAACACTAAAAATCAAAAAATAATAAAAAAAATGATTGTTGAAAATTGGTAGTTGAAAAATAATGATAGTTGTGTCAAAAATTAGTATTTTGGATTAAATGCACCATTAGAGCATAATTGTTAAAATATAATATTTTGACATTATAACTACTCTCAAAATATAGATTTGACATGCAAAAATAGCATTTTACATTAGAGATGGTCTAAACATCTCCAATGCCCTCTCAAATAGCCTCTCAAAATCAAAATATAGCAAGTGGATGAAAATAATACACTCCAATGGCCTCTCAAAAGGCCTCTCATATTTTGAGATTGTCAAAGGTATTGCTAAAATATAGTAGCTCTCAAATGACCTCTCAAACTCAAACATAGCAAGTGGATGAAAATAAGGCATTTCAATGGACTCTTAAAAGACCTATCATATTTTGAGATTGTCAAAGTTACTAAAATAAAAATAAGGCACTCCAATGGACTCTCAAAACATTGAATGGTTGTTGTGTCAAAAAATAACATTTTGAATGAAATACACCATTGAAACATAATTGCAAAGATATAACATTTTAATACTGTAACTTCTCTTAAAATATAGATTTTGTATTGGAGATGCTCGGCATTTTTTAAATAACAAATAAGTGTAACAACATATGGTTTTGCAAGGGTAATTTTGTTAATAAAAATATTTTATAAATGCAAGTTAGCAGCACTACTTTAAGTCCCAAACTAATTGGGGGCAATGTTATAACTTTGTAATAGTATTAGAGTTTTAGATACAGATTCAAGTTTTATTATAAAAAATTAAAAGTTGCGGTGGTTTTATAATTTTAGCTCATTATAAAAAGAAAAATACTAGCAATATTAGTACTACTAAACAAAGTAAAACAATTTATTTAAGGGTTAATTATAATGACACCCCCTAAGGTTTACTCTAATGACAACTATATACAAGTTGAGCCATTTTTGAACGATGACATCCCTTGAGGTTTGCTAAAGTTAGCAAAGACACCCGAATCGTCCTTACACATAGTGAATTGACATTATTGTCCTTTGACATATTCAATTACCAATTTGCCATTCAATCAATATCAAGATTGTATTCTCTATTTTTATAAAGTGACGATTTTGCCCTTCAATCAATATCAAGATTGTATTCTTCCATTTTTCTCTCTCTAAACTTATTTTTTTTGGGGAAAGTAATTTATAATATAAGTATAGAGATGGATCCGAATCCTGGCTTGGATTCTCAAAAAGAGAACTACAAAAAGCGCTCAGTAACTTGGGGAAATAATCATCACTTCCTATATCATATCATATAATTTGATTCTCAGACAACAAAATAACATGAAGAATAATTGAAGTTATATATATATGTGAATTTCTCTAACTTTGCAAACCCATCTTCTTGGGCTTGTCGATAACTGACTCCTTCGGCGACGGCTTGGCTATGAAGTCGACCTTGAAGACGAGGGAGGATTGCGCCGGCGATGGTGGTCTGGCAGCGTTTATTTCCACTGCCGATTATCAACGGCACAGAAGAACAAGTAAAGTGATTTGAGAGAGAAGAAAAATGGAGGTTTCTCAAGGAAAGAAGCCTGGTCTAATCCACCTTCATTTGGGTTTGGTGAGATTTTCAGATTTGCAAATGGATTGGACTATGTTTTGCTTCTTTTGCCTGACACCGAGCTGTGGCAAATCCAGACCCCCTCGCTGATCTGAGCTTCCGATCTACATGTTAAGAATCCTAATCTTTCACTGCCGAATGCGAATTTATTTGCCCCAAACCAATTTATCTTCCACCTCGAGAGAAATTAGGAATTTCGTATAGTGAATGTCTTCTTTACATTTTGGATCCATGGTTGTTCTTTGCCTCTGGCAGATGTGGTTGGGGAAAGACAGCGATGATGGATGTGGTTGGGGAGAGGTGGCGACGACGAATCAAGATTGTGGGCTGATGTGGGTGGGGGTGGTGGCAGAGGTGGAGGAAGGAAGCGGTGAGATTGTGGAAGTGGAGAGAGGTGGTGGACGTTGCAGTGGAAAGAGGGTGGAAGTTACGGTGGTGCGACGGTGCCGGACCGTAGATGGGAGGTGACGGTGCCGGATCGTAGGTGGGTGGCGATGGTGCCCGCCGCTGTTCTTCCCCGCCGATGATTTTGTTGGGATTTATATGCCCTGGCATAGCAAATTCCTGTTTGGATTAATTGACATATGTTCCTGACGTTTCTGAAATATTTATGTTTTATACAATTGGTGAATTCAATGTATTATATTTCGATTCACTATGAAATTGATAGTGTTCATGTAATTACAAGAAATATTTATGTATATGTATGTGATGGCAATCAATGCATGATATATAAATAGTAATTATAAATTGTTCATAGTCGGTAATTATGGATGGACTCATAATTAATTAAGACTTGAACTGGATCCGCGTTAGGTTGAGATATATTGCGAGAGCCGTCGTATGCAATTACTCCCTATCACCGTCATGGCATTTGACTCTTAAGCATGAGAAAAGTATAGACTCTTTTATTAATTAATAATTACTTTGATTTGTTCGGCGGATTCTTCGGGATCCTTAGACCGACACTTCGGGTAGTTATGTAATTAATAGTTAGAGGGTTATATTTTCAATATTTGCATCATTGCTGCTTGTATTTATTTTGTATTGATTATGGTTGATCACAAAGTAAATTCGAAGGCCTTCTTATGATTTTAGACAAAATGATTTATTATATATTTATTTATTAAATTATTATTTTTGTCAAACAAATGTTTTATTATGATCGAGCCAGAAATAATCAAAGGTACCAAAATAAATATATTAATTAAGTAGTCGGATTGATGGCATTATTTATCCGATAACTAATTATGCATAGAGGGGTCAAAGTGCAACATTGACTTAGAGGTTATTTATTATTTAATTGGAGTTCAATTAATTTCTTTTAGTGGAGTAGAAATTAATTTATGAATTAATTTAATTGGGTCCATGGACCGGGCCAATCATTAATTCATTGTAGCCAATAAAATAACAGGCCCAATGGATTCTCACTCATAGCCCAACTTGATATTGGAATCATATTAGATTTGAGACATGTGAATTAGAGATTGAGAAGGATTAGTTGTTTCCTTTTCTTTACCTTTATGTTGCCTATAAATATACATGGTCTATGTATATTTTAGGGGTGATTTTTATGAGAAGGAAAAAGGAATAAATTTTCTCTCTCTAGAAAATTAGGGTTTATGTTCTCATCTAATAGAGGCTCCCACAAGCCTAGTTTTCTAAGGTAATTCATGGAGGCTTATGAGTGATTCCTAAAGGCAAAATAATTACCAAGAAGATTGAGATCCAAGGAGAAGGCATCTTGCTAAGGGATCTACAATAAGTGAGAACATTCACTTTAGAGGAAAGTTTTAAAGGTTTACTCAGACCTTTGATGTAAGTATTCAATCTATTAATTGAATGATACATCATATTTTTATTTTTGCATAAAACTCGTCTCTATGTGATGAATCAAGATCTATGAATTTAAGTCCCTCGAAAAGTTTTTAAAATTTGCACGTTTCCCAACAGTGGTATCAGAGCATGGTTTGATTCATTACTAGAGATCATGATTTTATGAAAATCATCATTCATGGATCCAAAATTATATTCATATATATTTTTATTGATGTATGTTGATGTATAATTTAATATGTTGATATAGATTGATACATGATGATGTATGAATAATTGTGAATGAATG